CTAGAATCAATCAATGCTTGTCTTAAAATCTTTTTAGAGACCCAGCCACTGTGGTGGAGCTGTAAAGCACATGTCCTGCAAGGCTGGAGGCCTTACAGCCAGTTACGTGCTCAGATTGCTGAGCTGGCTTGAAAAATTGCAATGGGTATACAAGCAGGGGTGCCCAGGCCCACGTCCAGGATCCTGAGGAGCTGGAGGACTGGTGAAAAGGATCACATTGTGACAAAATCCTGCCCAGGGTGTGTGTGTGCAGTCCAGGGTGTGTGTGTGTGTATGTGCACGTGGGTGTCTGTTTTTCTGTTTCTCATATGCACACACTGTTACTAAAAAACAAACAAACAAACAAAACCCATCTTTTTAGGGTCATCTGGGGACACAAGTACCTACTCAACAGACACCTCCACTGTCATGGGAATGGACAATATTTGACTGCAGGTTCCTCAGACACCTTTTCATTTTTCTTTATTTCTTTTTTTTTCTTTTTGAGGGGATTTTGCTATAGGGTGCATGTGCTCGCCAGAAAGAGAGAGACAGAGAGAAAGTGAGAAATCACCCCCCAGTGGGGATGGCCATGCCACAATCCCTTCTCCTCCAATCTCCTCTTAGGAACTTGGGCACACACACAAACACATGCAGCATGAGTTCAAGCCACCGGGTCTGGGACTCAAACTGCTGTCGACTACGTGGGAGTCCAGAGGCATAGCCATTATGCTAACTGCTGGTCCCTAGAGGCCTTTTCTTGCATTCTGACTGACAACTTGGATATTCTTCTAGTGCTCTTTATACCCACTGTGACAACATCTCAGGTCATCTCCTCTCCGGCAAAGAGATCCCAATTTATATGCTCCATCCCGTGTATCTTCTCTGAAAGAGTCTATGAAATTTAAGTTCCCTTTGCACAGAACTTCAAAACCAAAACACTGAAATGCAGATACAATGGCAATTTGAGAACTGAGTCTGATTGTAAATTGGCCTGTCTGCCCCTGTGATGCTGCGTGACCGGGAAGGACAGAGCTTTCATCACAGCAGCACAGTCTGTGGACACAGGACAAACATTAAAGCATCCAACACAACGATGAGGGTCTTGGCTTTGGGGACAGGGTTCCTGGATTTGAATTCCAGCTCTGCTACTTGCTGTATGGTTTTGGGGAAGTTGCTCAGCCTCTCTGAGCTGGATTTTTCATCTATAAAATGGAGAACACCTATAAGGGCCACTGTTGAGAATAATCTGAAAAGACCCTTATGAAGTATTTAGAATAGTCTTTAGAACATAACACACAAAAATGTTAAATATTATTGTTATAAATTAGACATACAGATAAAATAAGAACAAATATTTTTGTGAATACCTATATTACGGTACTCAATTTCCCAGATTTTTGCTATCTTCTGCTTTTGGAAGCAATTCAAATCACTGGTTTGGATTGTTTGCAATCACTGTTTAAAACAGTGTTACTGACTGGAGTGTATACAGCTATTATATTTTGGAAAACGTGTGCCAAGCAGGGCAGTGCTTCACCCAAATTACATCTTCTTTTTCTTATTCACAAGAAGAGACTACATGGAGAGATTTTTAAAAATTTATTTTATTTTATTTTTTTTGGAGAGATTTTTGCTATAGGGTGTGTGCAATTGCCAGAAAGAGAGAGACAGAGAGACAGAAAGTGAGAAATCACCTCCCAGGGGTGATGGCCATGCCACAATCCCTTCTCCTCCATTCTCCTCTCGGGATCTTGGGCACGCACGCACACGCACCCAGTGTGAATTTAAGCCGCGGGGTCCGGGACTTGAACCGCAGTTGACTACATGGGAGTCCAGTGACATAGCCATTATGCCAACTGCTGGTCCCGAGAGATTATTTTTTTAAAAGGTTTTTGGTATAGGGTGTATGCATTTGCCAGAGAGACAGAGACAGTGGGAGGCCATCCAGGGGGGATGTCCACATAACAATCCCTTCTCCATTCTCCTCTTGGGATCTTGGGAACGCATGCACACACTTCTGGTGTGATTTTCAAGCCACCAGATCCAGGACTCAAACTGTGGTCAGCAATGTGGGAGTCCAGTGACATAACCACGACATTATCTGCTGGCCCCACAGGGAGAGATTTGTAACTATCACCTTTGCCTGTAGAGTCTTACTTTCTCAATACACCTCTCCTCTCAATACTAGAGTTGTTGTTCTTCACATAAAACATAATATTTCTGTCCTCCACACTAGCTAATTCTGCTGACAGAAGAGAACATTTTTACTCCTTAACATAACCCTTAAGGCCCCTTCAAACTGGCCTAAGTCTGTTTTCCACTTCTATTTGATTACCATTTATTTACTTAGTTAGTTTTTAACTTGCCAGAGTGCATGTGTGTTTGCTGGAGAAAGAAAGACAGAAAGAGAGAAAGCACCCTCTGCCTTCCCTCCATGAGGTGTGGTCATCTTGCAATCCTTTCTCCTCCCTCTCTCCTTCTTTTGGGATTTGAGGCACACACACACACACACACACACACACACACACACACATGCACGCATGCACCTGGTTTGTTTCTCAAACTGCAGGGTCCTACCATTCGAACTGCACAATTGGCCATGTGGGTGGAGTCCAGCCACCGTAACCACTAGGACATGGGCTGGCCCTGTTGGATTCCTTCTTAATCACAAACTCCATACATTGGCCAGACCTGCTTAGTTACCTAATGCACCATGTATTTTCATTTGCTTGCTCACTCATTCACTCATTTTACTCAAATACTTTATACTTACTCACTGTATGCTAGGAACTTTGCTATGTGTTAGTAATTACAGATTTTTTTTTTTAATGCATAGGCTTTGCTTTTAAAGAGTCCATAATCCAGTAGAAATTGTATGTACACAACTTGTCATAAAACAGTAATGTGAAACAATTTACAACAGTGGTGACCTGTCTTTATAGTCCTGTTTGAACACTTAGGTACAAGCAATGGCTTTTGCTGGACAAGTTAGAAAATGTTTCACAGAAAAGGTGAACTTTATCTCTGGTGTCAAACAATTAGGACATGAGGTATTCAACAGACAGATAATAGAAAATGTTTACCAGGGAAAATGCAATTAAATAATGCCTCTGACATCTAAGGAAAAGCAAGTACTTAGATGTAGATGAAGTACATTTGCGGGAGAAGAGGCGATGTAGAAGGTTATGGAAAGGCTGAAAAAGACCAAGGATCTTCCATTTTTGTTTTGTTTGCTCAGCACATATTCCCCTCCCCCCCTTGTTACAGTAACAGGCCTGCCATCCTTGCTACGAAGGTCTGGCCAGTTCTGGCAACAGCAGCTCAACTGACATGCACTTTCTGAAGCAGAGCCAGGAGTAAGCCTTCCCCGGGAATTGGCACAGCCTTCTGGAGCAAGAAGAGCACTTTTGGTGCTGTGTGGCTAAGCAGGGGCTGCCTGGGGTAAGTTATCTGCTCAGTGGAGAAAGTTGCTTGCATTTGTAGAGAATGAGCCCAATATGCAAAAAGAAGAAAGGCCAACAACAATTACATACAGGTAGAAAGTGTGAGTCCCAGGGATGCTAAATTGTTGGCCCAGGTTTTGAACTCAAGGTTACTGGTACACTTCCCTCGTTTTCCACAAATGCCCATCAAGATCTCAGCCACGTGAGCCAATGAATCCCTACTTACTGCCAGAGAATTGGAGTTTAGTGTCTGCCATTTTTAATGGAAAGAGTCCTGACAGATACCTTTATTGTATTAAGAACTCTGTTTTACATGGTAAGGCAGTGGGAGCCACAGATAATTTTATTTTCTTTATTGTTATAGGGTTGTGTGTTTTCAGGAGACAGAAACTGAGAGAGAGATGGGGAAACTGGGAAAACACCCACCTCCCCTGGAAGGATGGCGAGCAGTCCCTTCTCCATTCTCCTCTCAGGATTTTGGGTACACACGCACACACACCCAGTGTGTTTTTCAAGCCCCTGGGTCTTGGACTCAAACTGAGCAGTCAGCCATGTGGGATCTAGCTGCCTTGACCATCATGTTACCTACTGGCCCACTTGCAGAGACATTTTAGGACATAAAATATATTCAGGCTTATGAGTGGTGATTCAAAGGTGCCTTAGAAAAGTTCTAGTAGGTGACACAGAAGATAGATTCGAGGGAAACCATTTGGGTCCTTCTTTGCCTTTCAAGAATTTGTTCTTTCATCTTTAAGAAAATTTCTGGGAGCCAGCAGGTGGAGTGGTCATTAAAGCACTGGACTCCCACATGTCCGACTATGGTTTGTTGAGTCCCGTACTCGGCAGCTTGCATTTTAATTTTCTCTTTCTCTGTCTGACATACCGTATAACAAATTAAAAAATAATAATGAAAAATGAAATTAAATAATTCTTTTTTTTTAAAAGACAGAGAATTTGTGACTATTGAAAGAGTTTGGCCCAGCTCATGAGGCACCTATTTTCTGGTGCCTTTGCCATCTGGCTCAGGAGGCATGAATGGTTCTTTGTTCTATATCCTGCAGCCTTCACTTGTACCTCTGATGCTGTGGTTCTGAAACTTCTGATGAGAATCTTTGGGAAAGCCTGCCCCAAGTTTCTGAGCCAGCAGGTCTGGGATGGGACTGAGAATTCTAAGTTCCAGATGACGCTGGCCCAGTGGCCATGTGCTGGGAACCACTGGTCTAACACATGTCAGTGTCCTGTGCTCTAGTTCACGTACTCCTCTATAGTCCCTGCTCAATAAAAATTCCTTAAGGAATTTTTCATCTTTGTACAACCTTCAGTTGCTTACATAATGCTTTACTCAAAAACTGGTATTTGATAATGGATTGCTGTGTGATTAATTGTGAAGATAAAAGAAATATCTTATCCAAGTAAATTCTATTCATCATCATCCACACAGAGAATCTCAAAAAACTGACAATGTAACTAGACAAAGGATGGAAAGGCAGACTATATATCCTGACTTCTTTCGGGCTGCCTGATTCTTATTACGTCTATCTGGGCAGGGTGGGGTGTTGATATAAAGTGCGTTACCTTAGGCATCCGGTGACATTGTAAAATATATCAAAATCAAGCAGGCCATTTGCTTTGGGGTAGTCTCCTTCAGGCCACCCGGAAAAGGGGATGATGATATTCTCAGTCAGGGTAAGCAAGGCTTCTGTTATCATGAGGTTCTTGAGTTTGTCGTTAGAGGACAAATTCCACAGCAAACCTAGAAAAGCAGAGTGACCATGAAAACAGTGCAGGGTGGGGTCAAATGACTGCTGAAAAACTGTTAAGGCCATCGCCTCCAGGGCTCTGACTAGTTATAAAAGAGTGTGGGAGAAGGAAGACAGTCCCTTTCAACTGAAAGAACATGTTTGGAGCTCGTTATTGCAATGAAAGCTGATCCATAAAACAACTAAGTGTATACATTGCTTTTGACATAAACCTTCCCAGGTTTAAATAATCAGGAATGTGTGGGCAACACGGCAAGACCCTGTCTAAGGAAGAGCCAAGCATGGTGATGTATGCCCCTAGTTTTATCCGGGAGGCTGAGGCAACAGAACTATGACACTGTCTTTAAAAAAAAAAAAAGAAAAGCTTGGGGCCAGTAGGTAGCATGGTGGTTGAGGGACTGGACTCCCACATGGTGGGCCATCGTCTGAGTCCCGGAGCTGGTGGCTTGCTTTCTCACTTTTCTCCTCTCTTTCTCTCTCTCGTTTTCTCTGTCTCTCTCTGGTGAGTGCACATGCCCTGTGGCAAATTTAAAAACAATAATAACAAGAAATAAAATTAACTGACTCTTAAAGAAAAAAAAAAGCAAAATTAATCAGGAATGTAAATGAAAGCCAGAAATACTTAAAACATTTATCTCTGTTTGTCATGAAGGATGCCACCGTAAGCTGACCTCATTGAGACAGTAAATTCTGGACTTACAGACAGGGAAGCTTAAATGGTTCTACTGTAACCGAGACTTGAACATTTTAAGAGAGTCATATTTTTCCTCTCTGCCTTCTGCTCTTTGCTCCCTAGAACTTGCACCTGATATTTACCTTCCAATAACAGCAGGAAGGGCCTGCAGAAAACCTTTCTTGATGTCTGTCAACAGTAGGCTGATCAACATCACCAATTAACGCTTATTGATTCCTATTCAATGACAGTTTATGCCCTCTAGAAATTTATGTTAGCTACCTCATGAACACCTTATTTTATAGTTTGGCAGTGAAGAAGAGAAGAGTATTTTATCCTTTGGGTTGTCGGAAAAGTCACGACGCATTTTTTTTTCTTTCTTTTTTTTTTTTTTTTGAGAGGTTTTTGCTATCGGGCACTTGTGCTTGCCAGACAGACAGAGAGAGACAAAGAGACAGAAAGTGAGAAATCACCCCCCAGGGGGGATGGTCACACCACAATCCCTTCTCCTACATTCTCCTCTCGGGATCTTGGGCACGCACGTACATGGGCCTGGCCTGAGTTTTAAGCCACCGGGTCTAGGATGCGAACCGTGGTTGACTACATGGGAGTCCAGCAACATAGCCATTATGCTAACTGCTGGTCCTGAGTCACAATGCATTTTTGCATAGAAGAAGAGAAAAAAATTCATCATAACTTTTCCAACAACCCAATATTTGCCTCCCTTCCTGGTCTAAATATTGGTGTAAGATTAGTATCACATTTCTCACTTCTCTGTTTTCCTTTTCTTCTTTAATGTCTCACATTAAAAGAAAAGATCACATAAGCCAATATGGAAGACATTAGAATAGCCGTACACTGTACTTTCCAGAGCATTTGCTAGATAAAGACTGTAGCTGAGTACTAAGAGAGACTAGAAAGGGACATATACTACATATTTAGGATTTGTTTTCCTTCTTTTTTTAAAAAAAGAATGATTTTATTTAACTTTATTCCTTTATTTATTTTAATTTTATCAGAGAAGAAGAGAGAGAGAGAAATTGATAAAGCAAGCCACCAGGTCCAGGACTTGAACCGTGGTCAGCCATGCAGGAGTCAGTGCCCTTCACCACACCACCTGCAGGCCCCAGGATTTGTTTTTCTTACAGATGTGTTCTTCAATTACCTCTGATTCAGTGGAAGAACTGTTTGCCTCTTGCTTGCTATTCAGAGACTCCCAGTAGGTGTAAAGTTGCTTTGCCATCTTTTATGCCTCCATAGGTTACCCTAAGTCACTATCACCCAGGAAAGGGGAGAGAAAGAGGCTCTGGACAGAAAAGGAAGGGATGACTCTTCATTTTTATTCTATCTTTCCCTCACCTCCCAGAACTTCTACTCTTAAAATTACTGTGTTGTTGGGGACCAGCAGTTGGCGTAATGGCTATGTCACTGGACTTCCACATAGTTGACTGTGGTTCAAGTCTGGAGTCATGGTTTAAATTCACACTGGGCGCGTGTGCGTGCGTGCCCAAGATCCTGAGAGGAGAATGGAGGAGAAAGGATTATGGCATGGCCATCCCCCTGGGTGTGGGGGGGTGATTTCTCGCTTTCTGTCTCTCTGTCTCTCTCTGTCTTTCGGGCGAGTGCATGCGCCCTATAGCAAAAACCTCTCAAAAAAAAAAATTTAGTATGTTGTTGGGGCTGGCAGGTGGCTTGGTGGTTAAGGGCACTGAACTCCCACATGGGTGAACATGGTTCAAGTCCCAGACCTGGCAGCTTGCTTTCTCACTTTTCCCCTCTCTCTCTCTCACTCTGTCCCTCTCAGGTCAAAGTAAGATAAGTAAATAGTTAAATAATTTTTTTAAAAAATTTACTGTGTCGTCTGTGTGAAGAAAAAGAGGGAGGACAGGGGCCAGCAGATGGTGTGGTGATTACGTCGCTGGACTCCACATGGCTGACCGTGATTCGAGGCCCGGATCTGGTGGCTTGAAAATCACACCAGGCATGTGTACATGTGTGCCCAAAATCCCAGGAGGATGATGGAAGAAGGAACTATAGTGTGGCCATCCCTCCTGGGGGGTGATTTCTCACTTTCCCTCTCACTGTCTCTTCCTCTGTCTCTCCAGGGAGTGCATGTGCCCTGACAAAAACCTCTAAGGAAAAAAAGAAGAAGGACAGAAATAAAGGGAAGTCTACATTATAAAAAGAGCATGTGGCAGTCTTGGATGAACTATGCGGTGATGTCATCTCTCCTGATTTTAATACCTGAAATAATAGTCTGCACCATGAAAGCACGGTAATTATTCGACCTTACTTGTATTTGGCCTAATCGATTAAACGCTTCAGGCCCTGTGCAGTCTTTTGGGCTTTGCTTTGGCTGTGTGTAAGTAATACATTTGCAAAGCAGTAGCCAAATTTCCACTGCAGGCTACACATAGCTTCCATTAGACACAGTGACACTGGGTCTGGTGTCTTGCAAGGACTAGATTTCTGGCTTGCAGGGAGGTTTTTTCCTGATTAAACTAGCGTTTGGGGTTAGTCATGAGCAGTGTCCCAGAGCCACAGGTTTTGCAACACAATGACTTCATTCCACCCACTTCATTTTAAGAGGCGCTGGAAGGGGACTGATAGAATAAAACTCAGAAGGTGGTTAAAAACAATTTAAGGGCAAGTTTGAGGCTGAGTTTTGGTTACTAAGCTACAAAAGAAAGTTAGAAAAGAGAGAAAAGAAAAAGAAAGCTTCCCAAGTTCTAAATGAGCAAACAAATTAACAGTCTCTGCTGCCAGAGGCTTAAAAATGTGAAGCATAATGCCATTTCCTCCTTTTAGAAAGGACCACACAGGGCACTCAAAGGAAAAGTACACCTTACAATAAAAACCAGAAAGGATTAATTTGAACAAAGGGAGTGGAATTTTCCTTTAATGAGTCAATATCCTCTACAGCTTGGCATGCTACATTATTTTTACAGAAGTATGTGGTTGGAAAAACTTTTAGGTATAATTTTAAATTTTTCAATGTAAGATATTATATAGAAATGACATGCCTGTCAAACTTCTGGATGCCATGAAGCTGAGAAAGAGCTACCATGTTCAACAGAGATTCGACCCTCATACTACACAAACAAAATCAGTAGATAACCAAGTACAAACCAGGGAAATATGTATACCAATATGAGACGAAGGGTTAAAATACCCTTAGCGTATGGGGTTCTTACAAGTCATTAAAAAAAGAACCACTAGTAGAAAAATCAGACCGTGCTTAACACAAAACAATGATACACATTTGGAGCTAATATGCATGGGAATGCATGTTCTTTAGCAACAAAAGATATTATTTAGATATTATTTAGATATTATTTTCTTTGTCTAGAGGATGCCAAACCAGAACCAGTGAGTGGAAATTCTAAGGAGATTTTGGCTCACTGAGTGTGTAAACTTCTGTTTTTTTTTTTTGAGAGTATTTTTTCACTATAGGGCGCGTGCGCTTGTCAGACAGAGAGAGACATAGAGACAGAAAGCAAGAAATCACCCCGCAGGGGGGGATGGTCACGCCGCAATCCCTTCTCCTCCATTCTCCTCTTGGGATCTTGTGCATGCACACACATGCGCCCGGCGTGAGTGTAAGCCACCGGGTCCGGGAGGTGAACCGCGGTCGACTACATGGGAGTCCAGCGACATAGCCATTACACTAACTGCTGGTTCCCACTGAGTGTATTAACTTCTGAGAGAGCCTTGAGGGAAACAGAAAAGTCTATTACTTCTAAGTTCCAGTTCTTTCACTGCAGCAGATAAAAATTAGTTCATCCTTTATCAAAATGTTGACAAAAGGTTTTATCCTGACAATGTTAGACTAGACTAGCAGTTTCCAAAGGAACCTGGTGACAGACTGGAAGAGTGTCTGGGGCCACACTCCAAATTTACTGAGCTGGAGTCTCAAGATAGATTCTGGAATTTGTATTTTATAAAAGGATTACAAATTGTGGCACCAATGAACCAGGCGACTCTGAATAGATGTCCCTTTCCAATGAGCAGATTCTAGATTCATTAATGTAATGGTGAGGGTTTAGGTTTCCATCACCACACCTTTAACATCTGGTCTGTTTATTCACACCACTTAAATTTCTATTATGGTAGTTCTTTGTTACAGCTGGTCTGCTTATAAGTTTCTACCTCTAGGCTCTCATTCTAGACAAAAAGAAAAAGAACTGGGTTCCAGTAGAGGAAATAATTTCAATAATTAGCAATTATAAAAGAGATCATGACAGTAGGGGTGAGAGGGAAGGAATGAGGGGAAAAAATGCAAAACATTTAACAGATACAAAGTGGTAAATAATCTGTTGA